AAATAGAACCCACGCTGCAGAGGCTGCAGACAGCTTCACAGCGCAGCACTCAACTCGCTGCGCCACCAGGGAGGCCCAGGGGGACTTTATCTTAATGCCACTCTTTCCTCTATACCTGGTACAATGGCTGACATATTGTAGATACACATTAAATATCATTAGTACTTCATGCAGAGTAGGTCCTCAACACAAATACCTGGAATGAACCCTTCAACTCTCTTGTATTCTTAGTGTAAGAGAATAGTTACATGCCTATTCAGTGAACATTGATCGTATGATGAAGAATATGCAAAGCATTTTATATTCTTTACCTCATCTACATCTCCTACAACCCCAGGAAAGGAGATGATGGTAGTGCTCATGGAGGTGATATACTAGGAGTAGTAGTGGCAAGTAGCAGCCACTTGCCCAAGATTATATCATTGAAAATGGAAAGCCTGGACTTGACCCAGTCATATCAGACTTTAAGGTCTGTAGTGTTAAATACCAGAGTGTACTGCTCACAAAGGAGACTGCTAAACTATGTGGATAGATTGAGATGATTTCAGGATTCCTGGACTAATTGGAATAAGAGAGGTTTGAGGTGCAGTAGACCAGTCTCTAATATGTGTTACAATGAGATAAAACGAAGCACTTTGCCAAGGAATTACTTAGTCATTGCTCATTGATTTGACAATGAGTCTGCCTGAACTAGTTCTGTTATTTTATTATGATTAGTGATAGACATTCAAGATAAATTCAAGGGAAAGTTAATGAGATGGAGCTCAAAAGTTAGCAAAAGAGGAAAGTAAATCAAGTTGCTAAAAAGCTGAAGTTGAAGACTTTCCCCCAACATTTGAAGTCACATTTTTTTATCAAGTCTAAACACCTAAACTTTTCTTTGAGTAGGCATTTTTTGGGGGATAGAGTGCAGCTGAAAATCATAACTGGACTACGTATTATTGCAACTCTAATGATAAAATGATTTGGAATTCATTAAAAAAAATACAAGTCAAATCTTCCTTTTTGAGGTAGTGTGGGACTTAGAAGTCAGACACATTGGACTTGGAAATACTGTTGGCTTTGCCAGTTCCTGCCTAAGTAGCCAATCCTCAGTTCTCTGAGACTTGGTTTCCTTATCTTAAAAAAAGCAGGGACGGCATTAAAATGTCCACTCTTCTGTTATGAAGAATCAATGAAATAAAAGACCACCCTACACACAGTGTCCACCAAGTACTTATAAGTCCCCTTGAAATGCTGAATTGGGCTGTGAATTTGACATCTGCTGGTGCCTCTCCTGGGATTTGCTATATTTACTGATGATAAATTGTATGATAAATTGTTTATTTCTGAACTTTTATTAGGCGCCTCACCCAATGCAAATCACTAAGCTTCCTTATCAGTTTTACTTAGCAAAAAAATTGAGGAATAACATATCACAGCAAAATGCATAAATCTTAAGGATTCTGCTCAGTGAATTTAAATATGCATGCATCCACGCACCCCCATCCAGTCAAAATGGGGACTACGTCCAGTACCCCATATTTTCTCATACCCCTCCCAGCTGGTACTTCCTGCAAGAAAACCGTTATTCTTTTTTTTTTTTTAATTTTATTTTGAGGGGCCTCCCTGGTGGCAAAAGGGGTTGAGTCTCAGCACTATGAAGCAATTTGCCACCACTGCAGCACAGCACGAGTTTGATGCGCAGCCAGAGAGCTAACCCACATGTTGCAGCAGACCTTTCATATCGAGCCCACTGCTCCCCTCAGCAGTGTATTTCAGTCCATCTGCCTGTTCTGCTCCCCACTCTGTCTCTGGTGAATCCTCTCACCACCCACCCCCACACAACTGTGGCCTACACCCCAGCTCTTATATGCATAAATAAATCTTCTTAAAAATTTTTTATTTTGAAATAATTTCAGCCTTACAAATAAATTGCAAATGTAGTACAAAGGATTTCTGCCTATCTTTATCCATCTTTCCAAGCATTAACATATTTCCTAATCTTAGGACAATTTCAAAACCCGGAAATTAATATTCATACAATACTATTAACTTGTCTACAGACCTTAGCTCCATTATTCCACTAATGTTCTTTTTCTGGTCCAGGATCCAAGCCAGGTTCACATATTGTATCCTGTTGTCATGTCTCTTGAGTTTACCCCAATCTGGAACAGTTCCTCTGTTTTTCCTGTCTTTCATCACATTATAAAAGACACTAGTCCATTCTTTTGTATAATGTCCCTCATTATAGGTCTGATGTTTCCTCGTGATTAAATTCAGGTTGCACATTTTTGCAAGCCTGCCACAGAGTGATGTGTGTTCTCCTCAGTGTTTACTATTCAGAGAAACATGATGTTTCATGGTTTATGCTATTAGCCTTGATCACATGATGAAAGAGTTGTCTGCCAGATTTCACAACTGTAAAGTTGTTACTGCCCCTTTCTGAATATCTTGTTAGAAGATATTTTGAGACCATGCAAATCTCTTGTTACTCATACCCTTTAATTTTAGCATTCATTACTACTGTTTGCCAAATGGTGGTTTTTAAATTTTTATTAGAACTTCTACATTTATGAATTGGAATTCCACACTAAGGAAGAACTGCCCCTTCTCCTCCATTAAATTTTTTTTAAATATAATTATTCATTAGATCAGACTGTACTCATGGAGATTTATTCTATATGTTATAATTCACTATTACTGGTCTGTAATTTTATTGCACAAATTGTCTACCTTTGGCTATCGGATGTGCTTTCAAGATGGCTCCTGTGTTCTTTATTTTTTTATTATTTTTTAAAGATTTATTTATGCATACAAGAACTGCGGTGCAGGCTAGCGATGCAGGAGGTGAGAGGATTCACCACAGACAGAGTGGGGACAGAACAGGCAGATTGACTGAAATACACTGGTGAGGGGAGCAGCAGGTGAGACAGGAGAGGTCTGCTGTGCCATGTGGGTAGTTCCCTGGCTGGGGATTGAACTCATGCTGCAGGGATGTGCATAGCTTCATAGGTTGCATCTTAACCCCTTGCACCAGCAATGAGTTCCCTCCTGTGTTCTTTAAACAGGCTCCAGCACGGGGCCTCCTTGGTGGTGCAAGGGGTTGGGATGTAGCACTGCTGCAGCATGAATTTGATCCCTGGCCAGGGAAGTGACCCACAATGCGCAGCCGACCTCTCCTGTCTCACCCGCTGCCCCCCTCAGCTCTGTATTTCAGTACATCTGCCTGTTCCGCTCCCCACTCTGTCTCTGGTGAATCCTCTCACCTCCCTGCATCGCTGGCCTGCACTCCAGCTCTTGTATGCATAAATAAATAAATCTTTAAAAAAAAACATGCTCCAGCTTCTTTTTAAGGGTTGCTTTCTTACTTATTGGAACCATAGGCGTTTATAGCTCATCTTGTGTATTCTATGCTCTAGCCTCGGAATGAGTCACTTCTTTAAGAAGTCTTGGTTCCTTTTATTGAGGAGTGGCATAGAGACCATAAACTGGAATGAATATGTGTTCATGGTCCTTGGAATAACATTGTTTTTGTTGTTTCTGGGTCCTTGTAGTAGAACACATTAGGAAATATGTGTGTAAACTAACACATATTCACATTTATTTCTACATCTCTGTATGTGTGCATAGATACCAAGTTTCCATACTGTTTTAAATTCAATTCCAGTCCAAAGAGTTTATTCTGGTCTTCCTCCTTTTCTTATTTATAACTCTTTCCTCTGACAGTGAGGAACCTGTATCTCATCTATAATATCTTCACTAATTTACTCAATCCTTGAATACCTATAAGAAAGCTTCACCTTGGGCATCCCTGGTGGCGCAAGGGGTTGAGCGCAGCACTGTGAAACTATCTGCAGCCTCTGCAGTACGAGTTTGATCCCCAGCCAGCCAGGGAGCTACCCACGTGGCGCAGCAGACCTCTCCTGTCTCTCCTGCTGCTCCCCTCAGCAGTGTACTTCAGTCAGTCTGCCTGTCCTGCTCCCCACTCTGTCTCTGGTGAGTCCTCTCACCCCCACACACCTCTGGCCTGTACCCCAGTTCTTGTATGCATAAATAAATAAATCTTAAAAAAAGAGAAAGCCTCACCTTGCTAGCTAACCATGTTTACAACACTTGTTTAGTGTTACAACATAGTGAAAAGACTGCTTTCCAAGGTTACATTAAAAAAAATTCACCCACTCCATCCTCAGTTGTTCTGCTTTTCAGTTATAATACGGGTTTGCTGGTCACTTTTATTTCCTACTTGGGCTCTCCTCATTCTAGTGGATTTCAATTATGGTTGTGTTTTTTTTTTTTTTTTTGTGGGACCCTAGCCGGCGGCCGGGAAACGAACCAGCGCTGCAGAGGCTGCGGGCAGCCTCGCAGCCGAGCGCTCAACCGCTGCGCCACCAGGGGAGGCCCTGTATTTATTTTTTGAGAGTGGAAAACATCAACATGATTCTATCCCCTCCTATTTATCTCCTATAGGGAACCATTTTCATTAGTTTCCATTAGAAGCGAGCAGATACGCATTTCCTTACATCCTCTTCTTCCTCGCATGAAAGATGGCACACTACATACACTCTTTTTCTTTTTGCCATTTTCACTGAAAACACATGCTGGATATCACTCTTACTGTCATTTACTGAACATCATGATCAATGATGGGCCATTGGACAACAGTGTCCCCAAAAGGCACTGCCATATAAACTAGGTGTGTAGGAGGCTAGACCATCTAGGTTTGGGGAACTAGGACATTTCCATGATGACACAATGAGGAAACTGCCTAACAACCCATTCCTCAGGAAGCATCCCTGTCATTAAGTCATGTATGACTATAACTAGTTCATTGAAACTTTTTCCCTTCCTTTTTTTTTAAAAAGATTTATTTATTTATGCACACAAGAACTGGGGTAAAGGCCAGAGATGGGGCGGTGTTGAGAGGATTCACCAGAGACTGAGTAGGGAATAGAACAGGCAGATCTACTGAAATACACTGCTGAGGGGAGCAGTGGGCGAGGCAGGAGAGGTCTGACATAAAGGACCCCTAAAGTCCCTTAGAACAACTGATAGAAGCAATAGGCTGGCCACATATACTACCAAGGAGGCTGCTGTTTGCAGCCATTGCACACTGGGCCCCATGGGAAGAACAGCATGGTCGGCTTAATTGGTTGCAGGTAATTATCTAACTAGGAAGGAGATTTAGCACCTTCTAAAGTATAAAGAGCCGTTTGGTTGGAGGTGTGTGTATATGAGTGTGTGCAAGCATATGTGGTTTGCTCATATGTCTTTCCCTATTATTTGTTAGGTTCTTATGCCAGTTTTAATACTTTATGTTCTCTTTCAGTTTATCATTTGCCTTTTGATGTTATGTCATCCGTCATGAAAAATCTTTAATATTTTATTTTTTTAAAGATTTATTTTTGCATGCAGGAACTGGGGTGTAAGCCAGAGGTGGGGGTGGTGAGAGGATTTGTCAGAGAGAATGGGGAGCAGAACAGGTGGATTAACTGAAATACACTGCTGAGAGGAGCAGCAGGCGAGACAGGAGAGGTCTGCTGCGTCATATGGGTCAGCTCCTTGGCCAGCCGGGGATCTAACTTGTGCTGTAGAGGCTGGCAGTAGCTGGATAGCACTGTCTTTAACCCCTGAGCCACCAGGGAGGCCCCAAATTTTTAATATTTTATAATCAAGCTTATCATCTTTTCTTTTATTATCTCTGGATTTTTGAGTAGTTAGAAAAACTTTTCCTATACAAAGTTTAATGAAGAATTTACCCATGTTTTCTTCTGGCACTTACAGAGCTTGTTTTTTTTATTGTCCATTTGGTTCCCTAACCTGCTTGGAGTTTAGTCTTGAGTATGGTGTGAAGTATGCATTGAATTTTACTTTTACAATTGGCTACCCAGTTTTCGCAGCACCATTTATTAAAAATAGTGATTTGAGATGCTAGTTTTATCATATGCTAAATCTTCAAATGTACTTGGGTCTATTGTTTTTTTTCCTCCTATTCTAGAGGTCTGCTTGACTTTTCACTGGCAAGTAATACTTGGCTTTAATTACAAAGACTATTGGTTTAGGACAGCAAATTCACACTCTAAGAACATATTAATAATGTTAAATTAAGCGTTACTATCAATACCTTGCTTATTTTCACTGTTGTGTAGTGTTGCTTTGTATGCCTGTGCCATAATCTACCCATTTTTCTACAGACAGACTTGGATTGTTTTCAGTTTAGGCTATAGTGAAGAAAACTGTTATGGACATTCTTGTGCATGTCTATTTTGAATTCTTAGGAGTGAAAATGCTAGGGTATAGAAGCATATAGGGGGCCTCGCTGGTGGCACAAGGGGTTAAGACACAATCTATGAAGCTGTCCACAGCCACTGCAGCACAAGTTCCATCCCCAGCCAGGGAGCTACCCACATGGCGCAGCAGACCTCTCCTGACTCACCTGCTGCTCCCCTCAGCAGTATACTTCGGTCAATCTGCCTGCTCTATTCCCCACTCTGTCTCTGGTGAATCCTCTCACCCCCCACACCTCTGGCCTCTATCCCAGCTCTTGTATGCATAAATAGATGAATCTTTTAAAAAAATAATTTTTTTAAAAAAGTATATAGGCATATATTAACTTCAGTGGATACAACCAAGCAGTTTTTCAAAGCATCTGTGCATGTTTATATTCCTACCAAAGATGTATGAGATTCCCAGATATTCCACAGCCTTGTCCTCACTTTCTATTACTAGTCTTATTAGTTGCCTTAAAAAAAGAAAGAAACTTTGTATGACGTACATTTTTCTTCTTTTTCAATTCAAGGGCCTTTCCTTGCTTTGGAAACACATACATACATAAAGCAGGGCCCCATTTTTCATGACATCTAACAAATTACTCATAGCCGTGATGAATAATTCAGTTTTATAGAAAAACATAAAAAAGCAGTTATCAGCCTAGATTCAGTGTAGCAGACGGTTTGTTGCCTACTCAAAAACTATTTCCTCTCTCCCTCCTTACTCGCAGAATTTTAATTTTGTTCAGCACCCATTCTTCAGGGAAGGTGACCCTATCTTCTGCTCATTAATTAGGGTTGTATCCTAATTAATCTGAGCTAATCATGGTCTCTTATTCCTTTCAGCAGTAATTAGCTGAGGAATGAGCATGTGACCCAGATCTAACCATTGAGAAATGAGGTAAAGTCTCCTGAGGGGGAAGGCTCATCGGAAAGGTTTCCTTACTGCTAAGAAGGAGGCTCCAGGAGAAATGATCCTTTTTTCCTGTGGGTGTGATATATCTGGATAACTTATGTAGAACTGCAACAATCATTTCACTGCCAGGCTGAAAATGAAGCACCTATATGAAAAGATCACAAGAAACAAGCAAAGAGTCTTTAATACTGGTCTTAGAAACTGCTCTAGCCAAGTTTATGTGAATAAATTCACTTATTGTTGAAGATCATTTGGGCTAGATTTTTCCACTCTGTCACTATAACTAAAAAACCTGACATTGGCCATTGTTAAAATAGCAAAGGGAGAACAGTATGTTTACTCATCCCTTATAAATATGTACAGCAATCTCCTGGTTCTAGAATAGTGGTTCTCATTCAACATTAGAATCAATAGAAAGATTTATTAAAACAGGTTGCTGGAATTCACTACAAAAATTTCTCTTTCAAGAGCTTGGGGGTAGGATCAAGAATTTGCATTTTTGAGTCCTCTCTGACTGCCGAGGGGTTAAGTCAGCACTATCATTCCTATGGCCTCAGTTTGATCCCCTGCCAGGGAGCTAATCCACATATGGCACAGCAGCCTCTCCTGTCTCTCCCGCTGCTCCCCTTAGCTGTGTATTTCTGTCACTCTTCTTGTTCTGCTCCCCACTCTGGCTCTGGTGACTCCTCTCACCCCCTCACACCTCTGGCCTATACCCCACTTCTTCACAAAAAATAAAATGAAGTAAAATAATTATAAAAAATAAGCAATTTGCATTTCCTAAAAGATGCCCATGCAACAGATCCAGGCACCACACTTGGAGAACCACTCTTTTAGAATATAGACTCAGGCAGCAGCTCTCCTGCCTGCCTCTTACCATGCAGGTGTTTTTCTTCACCAATCTTCTCCCTTTGCAAAGCATCAGAGGCAGCTCTGATCCCAAGACTGCCCACCTGTTTCTCTACAGGCCTCTCTTTTTAACAGACCTGTCCCTTTCTGGGACAGCTTTCTGCCTTCTTGTGTCTGCAAAAGCATCCTGGACTTCCCTTATCTGTTTTTTTTTAAAGATTTATTTACTTATGCATACAAGAGCTGGGATGCAGGTGCAGGGGGTGAGAGGATTCACCAGAGACAAAGTGGGGAGCAGAACAGGCAGATTAACAGATATACACTGCTGAAGGGAGCAGCGGGTGAGACAGGAGAGGTCTGCTGCGCCATGTGGGTCACCTCCGTGGACAGGAATCGAACTCTGCTGCGACGGCTGCTGATAGCTTCATAGTGCTGACACTTAATTCCTTGCACCACCAGGGAGGCCCTTTCCTTATGTTTTTATAATAAATCTGCCCTTTTAAATTAAAAAAAAAAACTATAGATTCAATCTAACTATACTTAAAAACAAGCTTATAAAAATCTCATATCCTTCATGAACTTCATGTCAGTGAATACAAATCTTTATCAACATTTTGACTGATTACCTAGTATTATGTTATGTGGATTTACCAGGATTTGCAAAACCACATTACTAATAATAGATACTTCTGTTTGGGGGAACTTATTATATTAGCATGAACACATCTGCCATAAATATATTTTATAATAATCCTGACTGTTTAATAATTTCCTTAAAGAAAATCCCTTCCTTCTTCTTGTATTCTCTTCCTCATCTCTGTAATTTCTAATCCATTGTTTTTAGGTTTATGCATCTTACTAGAGGACTTTTGGTTGATACACTTCAGCATGTCAAGACCTTGGACATTTGGGCCTCCTTGGTGGCGCAAGGGGTTGAGATGCAACCTGTGAAGCTATCTGCAGCCACTGCAGCACAAGTTTGATCCCTGGCCAGGGAGCTACCCACATGATGCAGCAGACCTCTCCTGTTGCACCCGCAGCTCCTCTCAGCAGTGTATCTCATCAGTCTGCCTGGTTCCCTGATCTGTCTCTGGTGAATCCTCTCACCCTCCCGCGCATCTGATCTGTACCCTGATTCTTGTATAAATAAATTCTTGTATAAATAAATTTAAAAAAAGAGTTGAAAAATTTAAAAAAAAAAAGACCTTGGGCATTTGCCTGGCAGTGGTTTTCCTTTTAAAAATGTAGACCACAAAATACCATGGCAGGGCCTCCCTGGTGGCCTAGAGGTTAAGTCTCAGTGCCACTACCACACCTGCGCACTGCCACAGCACAATTCCCAGCCAGGGAGCTAATCCACATGGCATAGCAGACCTCTCCTGTTTCACCCACTGCTCCTTTCAGCAGTGTATTTCAGTCAATCCACCTGTTCGGCTCCCCACTCTGTCCCTGGTGAATCCTCTCACCCCCTGCACCTCTGGCCTGCACCCCAGTTCTTCTATGCATATAAATAAATAATGTTTTATTTATTTTTTAAATCCTTTTTTTTTTTTAAAAAAAAAGAAAAAGAAAAAGAATGTCATTAATCAATCATCAAAAAAAAAGCAAGACCATGGCATTTCTAGGTACAGGCCAATCCATTCTGAAAGTTAATTTAGTCATTTTTGCCTGGGCAAGTGAATGGAGCCCAAGAGACTCTTAAGTCTTTCTTTGCTTTTCATTAACAATTTGAACTTGCTTTCTGTCTGTCATATTTTTATTTGTGTCTAAAAGGAACCAACCACACAATACTTCAAAGATCAATGCTTGCATTTAGATGTCATGTGTCAATCATCCCAGAAGGTCACACTGCAAGGGGATAAGCTGGTCAAGTTATCATGGTGATGTGTGGCCCTGTATTTTCAGATCTATTTGCCCTCCTTAATGGGAACGGCATCTTCAATTAAGCCAGAATGTTCAGCATCATTCAAGGGATAAGTGCTTACCAGAAGAAAATTGGTAAACAAAATGCAGAAAATACTTGATCATTACTGTTCTTGACTTGCGATCTTGAGGCACAGAACTTTAATATGGGAGGTTTAAACCCATGGAGGTGTTGTTAAGGGATAGAAGCCAATGGAAGATG